ATTATACATTAAACGCGCATGCGTATACGTATTATGCGCATGCGCACACACATATTCGCAGTTGTAAAGGTCTTACGCGCACATGTAAATGCCTATGCGCTTGCGTCAACGCGACGCATGAGCAGAAAGTTTGTAGCTTTGAGGTCCAGATTATAGATCATTCTGGATTATGGGTGTCCGAATTAACAACTTTTGACTGTACTACTTGTCAAACTCTACCAAACTTGTACTCACAAAAAACACAGAAGTTTATTTCTCTAACTTTAAAAAAAAAAGTGCACTGTTGAATACAGTAATAAAATAATCATTAATTAGTAATATTATCAGTAATTAAAAGACCCACAAGTAAAATATATTTCTGACACTCCAATAATAGTTTAATCATAATTTATTTCATATACAGATATAGATATGTAGTACATAGAGAGAGACTGAACTATTCAGATTAAACTTCCTCTGCCAGTACAGCTTGAAAAATTTTGGATCAACTGCACATATGTGGATTAAAACACAGAACTAAAAGGAAAGTGCCTTAAGCTATTAGTCAAATAAAAAAATTACTATTAGTCAAATAAAAAAATTACATCAAATATGTATGCATGACTGTATACAGAGTGTATCATATTGAGTGCCCCAAAAGTAACATGGTTTGGTTTATGGCAAGTATTTTGGCTCAAGCAGACTAATTATCTTTCTTATTTTTGAGTTTGGATTGTAGCTTATGATTTAGCTCTACCAAAAACACTTATTTGATCCTTATCTCTTGGAAAAAAGATGAAACACTCTCACTTAATTTGGTTATTGTTAATTGATAGCGGATTGGTTTGTTCCCCTAGCCAAGTCAGATAATCTATGGTTAATAACAATGTTACCTTTTTTAGTACTTTAAAGTTTACCTTTTAATTTTACTCTTTAGAATTTTTACGGTTTAAAATAATGTTTCTATACAGCTTACTAAAATATTTTTACAGTAGAAATCCAAATAACTTATACTTAAAATACTGACTCAAATTTATGCAAAAAATTCATTGCATTAGTTAAATTTATGTTCCTTGGAGATGATATATAAAAAACACTTTTCTTATAATAAATTATTGGTTTATTAATTGGCAGCTTTAGTACAAGTATTTGACATTTTAAATTACTCACTATTATTTGTTTACACACACACACACACACATATATATCTGAGATTAAATCAAAATTATATCACGAAAAGGGAGCAACTCTCCAATAAGAAATAGACATATTACAAAACTGAAACAAAAATGTTTCACAATGGAAACGAAAAAATGAATACAATTGAAATGAATTTATAAAACTGTTGAAAATTCTTTGCTCTTTTGATATAATCACAGTGCTTAAAAATTCCAATAAAATATTTTTTTATAGTTTAATTATCATCAGGATATAATGATCAAATGTGAATCCCAAACAAAAATTAAAATTCATTGCAAAAATAAACACTTAATTAAATTAATTAATTTTTTAAATAAATACTTTAATTAAATTAATTAATTTTTTAAATTATCTTTTAATTTAACACTTAATTTTTTAATTAAACACTTAATTAAAAAAATACAAACAAAATTATAGCAAAAATAAATTCTAAAAAATATAAAATGAATTCTTGAGTACGAAACCAAAATAACCATTGGGTAAATCCATAGCCAGTGCTAAACAAATATCAATTAAATTTTAAACCAAAGAAAAAGCAAAACTGCACGGCTTTTAATAATACATGTCAGCTTAATTTAAATTTCTCAACTTTTGTTTATATTTATATATATTTGTGTGTGCCTATGCAGAATGTTCTAAACAGAATGTTCAAAGGTGACTATAGGCTTTACTTTGTTAAATATACAGGGGTTGGACAAAAAATAAGGAAACACCTTTAAAAAAACATGTTTCTTTGCTTAATATGGTGTAGAAACCCGTTTGCATCCAAAACAGCTTGCAGTCTTCTCGGAATGGATAAATACAGTTCCTGTATGTTTGCCAAGAGAATATTATACCATTCTTCCTGCAAAACGGTGGATAGTTCAGATAACGATGTTGGCGGTGGATAACGAGAACGCACTTTCCGTTCCAATATAGACCACAAAGGTTCGATAATATTCAGGTCTGGTGACTGTGGTGGCCAGGGGAGATGGGACAACTCATCCTCGTGCTCAGAAAACCAGTCCTGGACAATGTGAGCTGCGTGAACAGGGGCTTTGTCGTCTTGGAAGACACCATCACCATCGGGGAACAAAGTTGGTCATGGGATGAACTTGATCGGCCAAAATGTTCACATAAGTCTTGGCAGTCATGTGCCCTGACACAGTTATCATGGGGCTAGCAGAGAATCATGATATGGCAGCCTAAACCCTAACAGAACCCCCGCCATGTTTCACTCTTGGCAACAAGCAGTCTGTATAAGATAATCTATGGTTAATAACAATGTTACCTTTTTTTAGACTTGAGATGGCGTTCTCCAGACGTAAACTCGGCCAGAAGTGGGAATCAATGTGAAAGAAGACTCGTCAGACCATATTACTTGCTTCCACTGTTCTATAGTCCAGGCTTTATGACTTAAACACCACCTTTTCCTGTTACGGGCATTAGCATCACTGATGAGTGGCTCAATTGCAGCACGGCCAGCAATTCCTTGTTTATGAAGCTCCCTTCTAATTCTTTTGGTACTCACAGGGTTCGGTAACACAACATTCATTTCAGCAGTAACTTTTGCAACTGTGGTCTTCTTATTTTTCGTCACAATTGCCCTTAATGGTCGTCTGTCACGATCACTCAGGACACACTTTCGTCCACGCTGTGATTTAGCAGATGATGTTTTTCCGCTTTTCAAATATGCGGAATAAATCTTCGATACAGTACCTCTTGAAACACTAAACACCTCGGCTACCTTGCTTACGGAAGCACCTACCATACGTGCTCCAACAATTTGCCCACGCTCGAAGTCTGTTAACTCTGACATAATGCAATGACAACCTCACATAACAGTACTCCGACAACAACTAAACTGTTTAGCACATTTACGAAGTTGTATAGGTGGCGTCAGTAGTCAAAAACGACAGCGCCACCTACATATTTCATTAAAATCAATCTTTCTTTTCAAACATGCATTTCACAAGGTGTTTCCATATTTTTGTCCATCCACTGTATTACAAATATATCTCTCACACGGTTTCTTAAAATAAGCTGTAGTCTCAAAATTACGTGCTTTATTAAAGAAAAGGGGAACAAAGGAAGAAAGAAAGAAAATTCTTAACATTTTAAATAGAACTAATAGAATAAAACAGTCAAAAGTCTTTAATCCGGACGTCCATAATCCGAACCTCAAAGCTACACTTTCTGCGCATGCGCATAATACATTTACGCATGCACGTTTAATGTATAACGGACGGTATAAGCTAAGCTAAAATTATCTAATTATCCATTCCAGTTAATGTTGCAGATTGCATTGTTCCTTAATCTTCTAATTGGATCCGACTTATTATTTTTTGCAGACTGTTAGAGCAATTTTATAAAAGTAAGCTTGAGCTTTCGACTATGTCAAAAAGAATTTCCGATTCTGGAGGTGCCAAAGGATCTACAAAGCGAAAGCATGTTTCGATGCCCATTAAACAAAAAGTGAAATTGATGCAAAAAATGGATAAAGGCATATCCTTTGTTTCTCTAAACATTACAAAATCTGTTTATCAATTTCACGTTGCTCTGCAAGGGTGGGTGGGGGGACGTTGCGGCACAATGAACAGGAAGTTGATCTGTCAACACTATCCTTATCTTCAGGGCAGATGTTTTTATTTTATTCGGTTTATAATTCCTTACTAAATGTAATATTTCATCTCGATGTACTCCGTCTTTAATGTGATTTAAATCAAATTCCTCGTCATTATAAATATCACGAATACACATCAAATAGTTTTCTGGTTGCAATTTTCTAATTTCGACTATGCGTAATGTTTGTTTTACGCATGCGCGCGTTGAAAGAAATGTTTAATAAAGTAAACAAATAAATATTAAGCTTTTTTTAAGAAAATTTTGATACCCTTTAGATCATAATTGCTCTTTATTTCATAAATTATGGTTTCATATTTTTAATTTTATAATTTCTGCATGCCATCTTACCAGATTTAAACTGATGATCTATAATCCGGAATCGCCGAAGTCCTGACGAGTCCGGATTAAAGACTTTTGACTGTAATATCAATTAGCAAAATTTCCCTACACTTTACTTGAGGAGGGGGACGGTTCCATAACTTTATGTGCAAAATCTTGAGAGATGATACTTTTTCTATATTTGTATGAAACTCAGGAAAACTTTCATCTTATTGTATGAAACTCAGGAATACTAAAAAAATTTAGGAAGCCACTATAAATAAATCTCCGCATTTTGTGATTTAAAGTTCTGTTCTGAATTGTGTGTGTCAACAGTGCTTGTCTCTACAATAACAGCTTTCCCTGTTATTTTTGTGAAAATATGGCTTAAGTATTTCTAGATAAATTTTTAAACTAAATGTATTGAACATTCTAATTAATTAAAGATTGACAAATATTTTTTAAACATGATTTTTCCTTCATGAAGTTCATATAAAGAGTTTAAAAAATTCTCTCTAGAAATAATATGAAATTCAGCAATTTATTGTAAGGAACTTTTTAACTGATTACCAGACATTTTGCGTTAGATATAAAAGGATGAGATACAGGCTGATACACTTTATCATATACACTTGTACATACTACATCATTTTACAAAATGAATATTTTTATAATGAAATACTTCACACATTTATACAATATTAAACCAAACGTTAATAATTAATTAAAAAACAATAAATTAAATGAACTATTCACAAAACATACAAAACATTTTATGCTGAATCATAAAACTGTTTTACGATTACTCTGGTTCCGTAATTTGAAGTCAGATTTAAAATTAACAACAACAAAATAAATATTCAACCCAAAAAAAAATCTGTGAAAATAAATAAATGTACCGCAATAAGAGTTCTTTAGGAAGCTTCTTGTTTATCAATGCTTCTTCGTCAGACAGGACTTTGCAAATCTAGATAAATGAAGCAAACCTACATTTAATCTATTTAAGTTTACTAATGAACTCAAGTATATTAAGTTTCTTTGAAGCTAGTAGAGAAATGAGAATGACAAACTATTGAACATTAGAGAATGATTTATGGTTCTCTGAATTTATAAAAAATAAAGGAACCAAATTATAAACTATTCTGTTTTACATCAAATTACACAAGTGACTGATATATTTTGACAATTTAATCTATTTTTTCATTAATTTTTTATCTTTTGAATTTTACTCATTTGGGGGGGGGTAGTTTGAATATTTTAAGTAATATTCTTCGTAAATTCAATAACATTATCATTTTGCACTTATTTTCTTAGGAATAAAGACAATTAAATACTGCATAGCAACTTTGTATCATTAATAAAATTTTTGATGTGAATGAAGACAACATTTTTATTTTTTTTGCCAATAAATACAGAAATAAAATTCCACAAAGAACACTTAAAAAGAAAACTGCTTCAGGATTTAACATATGTTGTTCTATTTTGCTAAAGGTATCTATTAAAAATTTATTTTAAAACTGATTAATTCTCTAACGACATGCAGGCAGTATGCTTATCTGTTTAAAACTTAATAGATTTATATTACATAAATTATTTAATAAGCTTAAAATAATCATGTGAAAAATTAAGTAACATACTTCTAGTCTATTTTAAGAACAGTAAAATAAGGGGGGGAATACACAGTAGCTAATTATTAGTTCACACAGCAGCTTTAAGAATATATCAATCAACTGTAAATAAGGGCTGAAATATCCAGATGCTTAACAAACACGCAAAATATACGAGGCCTACTGGAAAATTTTGTCCGTTTGAAGAGCAAAAGAAAATAATACATTTTTCATGCCTTTAATAATATTTCTGGTACAATATAATTTCTGTCATTTACTTATGACCTCTTGGCAACATAATGGAAATTTGTAAATACCATTTTTGAAAAAAATTCTATCCTTGGAGGAGAAGAACTTAAGAGGCACCTGGCTGACATCTGCTTCAGTTTTGAATTTCTTTCACTTCAAAAATACTGTAAGGAGAGAAATAAGTGATAATCAGAAGGTTCAAGGAATATAGTGAATGTGGCATAATTTATCAGCTTAAGCTGTATTTTCTGACAAGTCACCAAAGCAGTATATGATCTGGCATTATCATGATGCAATAAGATGTGCTTTCTATTAGATGTCACAGCCTCTTTTCTTTAAATGCTTAGCTTGAATTGTCCATTTTTGACAATATCTTTTCAAATTGAGCTTTTTGTTTAAATTTCAAAAGCTAGGAATGTGTTAGTACTTGGATATCCCATCATACATACAGCATTCTCTTATTCAGGTACTTGCTCAGTTTAGAGGTGAAGGTGGCAGGTTGCCCAGCCTCAGTGTATGCTGTTTTCTAACAACATTTCTGTAGATAATTCACTTTTCATCCAGCAGTTATCATCCTGTCCAAGAAAAGTGCGCTTTTCTTTCGAGCAAGGAGAGATGCACGTTTAAGAACTCGATCTTGCAAATTTTCCTCACTTAACTCATGAGGCACCTATTTGGAATATTTATGTATAAATCCTAATTTATGAATATGTTCCGAAATGTTTTGTTGAGCTCAGCTATGCTTTTCCATAATATATTTACTAATTCTGGATTAATCACAGTTATAGACTAATTTAAATGTTTGAGCATCCGAGTTTGTAACTTTTTTCCAATACATATCAAAACACTTGCTAAAATATTTTATATCAAAGCTTGATGTGTCTAAAAACTGCATAGCACATTAAGTTCTCCCTAAAATTATGCTAATCTAATAATAAAGTTAAATATAGCAGTACAAAAATTATGAAAACTAATGAGGGGGAAAAACGATGAAAATAGACTCACCAGATCATGCATTTTATTGTATTTAACCATTTACTTATAAATACATGTTAACCTGTATGCCCTGTCTAAAAAATTGTCTACTACATTACACAGATATCGTTGAATAATCCAACAATTAGTCTCTAATAAAAGCATGATCTATAATCAAAATAGTTTTAATTATTTTATTGTACAAGTACCATTTAAATTTAAAAATGACATTAATATTAGTTTCATCCTACAAAAAAGATTACAGTATTTCTTGATTCAGTAAATGTTATAATTATTTGAATATGTATGTATCTTTTTTTAAATCGTACAATTTATTTACCTAAGTATTTGTGCTAGGTATGCAGTTATATTTCAGACTTTGGGAAGAAATTGAGAGTTTAGAGAAAACAATTTAGTGTTTGTTACAATGAATCTAACTGCTAAAGCTTGCAATGAAGTTAAAATGAACTGACACAATGACAAAAACTGACAGCATAAATAGAAAGTTCTGCCAAAGAAAAGGTTGCAGACTTTCTAAAATCATTTCTAGTATTCAAGTTTTTCAATACCTAAGAGAAAGGTGACATAATTTTATCAGAACAAGATAATCTAAAGAAATAGATTCTAGAGTAGAAGGAAGGAAATGAAGAAACATAAGGATGATGAAGCAGAAAGAGCAAAGATTGTCATAATGGTCTAAAATGTGTAGATGAAATATCAAGGTAACTCAGAACTGAATTCAAAATTAGTGAAAACATAACTTTCAGCAGCATTCATTATCTTCTTCAAATATCAACACAATTTCCATAAAACAGAATATTTATTACACCCTTTTTCCAAGGCAAAGTATCAATATTGAATCCTTTCCTAACTATTACATGGTGGTGTTTCTGTGAAGAATTGATTTTATACTATCTATGATTTTTAGAGGGGGATTACCATGCTTTTAGTTATAAATGCAAAATCAACCATTAATCACCGTTAACAGATTAGGTTAGGTTATTGGATTGTGGCAAAGCACACAAGGGGTAAGGAAATAATGCCTAACGCAGGGCTTTCTAAAGAAAACTGGATTATATTCACATTACACATCAAGAAAATCATGAAAATCAACCATGCAATTAGTGTTCAGCATTGACTATGTGTCTAATTCTGAGTATTCAGCAGTCTTAATCACTCAGTTACTGAATTGCCATTGATATTTGCAAGTGCAGTGTGCACAGATATGAATAGTCATATTCCAGAACAACAACAGTTTGTTAAGAGGAAGAATACCTAAAATAAAAGTGCAACAGCTTAAAGGAAGCAGTTAAGAATACTGGTAACAAAATATACAACCTTATTATAAAAGAAAATAGATGTTAAATATTTTTTTTTTATATTAAAGTGTACGAAAGAAAATAATAATAAAGTATAACATTATGTTAAAAAAATGGGATATCATTTTAATACAAAAGTTTGATTTTTTGCAGAATTGCAGAATACATATTTTTATTTAAGCACCTTAAAATGATTAATCTTTTACAAATTTTACAGGACACATATTTTTGAAGATAAACTTTTTTTAAGCAATCCTAAGTTAAATTTTTTAAGCACATATATATTTATTTTCCAATTAAAAAATTCACATTTATCATCCAGAACTTTAATAGTTTTCTAGTCTATTAAGCCATGGGAAATTAATGAATATTAAGCCATGGTCTTTAAGCCTTAAATATAGCCTATTTATTAGAAATTACATTCCTTTTCAGCTACATCCTAACCAGAACTGGCATTAGACTTTTACCACCTGGTGCAAAATGTGCGACTTCGAAATTTTGCCGCGAGTTTCTTCCTTAACTGTAAAAATCATGCTGGCCCTATATCACGCCACATGTTGTGGCCCCACTGGTTAGACTGGCTTTGCCATGAACCCTGATCCTGACTAGTAAAACTTTTACATATTTACAAAGCAAAAACTTATTTACAATGAATACATTCTTCTATTAAAACAATACTCAACTTACACTATTCATTTATATAATTTCAGCAGATATTAAGGGAATGAATGTAAAAAGAAGACTGAAAGTTCATTTGATAGATTCTGGTATACTAAAATAAAAATTACGAATTTCATCAGGAATGAAATAGTGCAGATAGGTTTTTGATGTGCAAATAATTATATGAAATTAAATGTACTATCTGAATCTGTGCTCTGTCATTATATGCTAGTACATTCCCTCTACATTTTTATAATTCTAGATTTTTAGAATAAATCTTCTAAAATTTAGAGGGTTAATTTTTTTAATCTCCTCTATTTCCGTTATTACAATTCTACGTATAACACAACATACACACAAATACTGTTATATTCGAAGATACTTCCAAGTAAATTCACTACATGGGTTAACTAAGATCTATATTTATTTATCATCTTTAACAATTAATATTTTACAGCACATATAATATCAATAAAATCATTAAAATATTTGCATCACACATTCAAATAAAAAAATACTACCATACAAACAGCTTTAAATCAAAATTAAGTTTTAAAACATAATTACACACATTAAATATAAGTTCATTTCTATTTCATAAATATATCTATTATTCTATGCATTCAGTGATACAAGACACCATTCGATGTTCAATGGATTTAAAAGCCAATTAATAGAAAGCATAAAAGTGAATTAGCTAAAGAAAAAAAAAAAAAAAAAAAAAAAAAAAACTAACAGAAATTTAAGCCACATATTAATACTGTGCACATCCTGAGACACTGTAAAGCAAGTTCTCAATATCAGGAACAGCAGAGTCAAGCTTCCAAAAAATAATAAAATTAAAAATAAATAAAATTAGATACTTTCACAATTATCATTAGCCTTAATGATTATTCTTCCTAAAATCAGACAAAATTGTGTAATATACCAACAATGTCAGACCACTACAGAACAACAAAATTAGAAGTATTTATTAATCAAAATAAACAAAACTTGCAAATTGTTTTAAACAGCAATTTGCCACAATACATTGATCCAGCATGTCTCCAAGAGCTAGCTAATGTTATCAACAAAAATGTAAATTATGTACACTAAATCTCAAGTAAGTTCTCGGGGAAATTTTCAGAAAATCAATTATTTTACTAGCAAACATAAGT